TTTTCAAACATGTATAAGTTTTGAATACTTAATTTTTTTTGTTCACGTATCACTATACACTAGTATATCAAGAGAAATTTGCTCGATTGGCCGGATTAATACCATTTGAACTAAACGAAAGAGAAATTATATTGGCTATACCGTACCGCTATATATAGGAATAGTTACATGTGCATATTAGGGTGGGGTAAATACACATTCCCAAACTCATTCGATCTTATCAAGACGCTATAATATGAGCAGTAAAGATATATTGTAGTATGACTCAAGTAACTCAGTTGGACATTTGGGTGCGACGTTAAGACCGGTTTGAGCTCTATATGAGTATGCATAATAATTGAGTCAAAGAGTTTCCCGAAGAATTTTTGAAACATAAACATACTCTTTCCCGAGAGTTTCCGTATTACATATAATAATTGAGCTCTTTTAGTCTTTATATGGACCCAAAAATCACTATTTTTGACAAAGTTTGGATCTTAGACGACTCAACACAATCTAAAAAAGAAAGCACAAGGCAAAGCGAGATTTGTATCACTAAAACATATTAACAAGATGAGATTTTATGCCAAATAAAATACTCCAACCGTCCCTGAATTTATCTTCCGATTTTTTCCGGAGTCTGTCTCATAATAATCTTTTTTCATTTTTATCAAAAATTGTTGTTCAGAACATTTCCTTCACATTTCCCTCTTCTAATTTGCACAACTGTCCACCACATAATTCTGACTTCCTTAATTATCGCGCAAAATACATTTTGAAAGATAATTGAGGAACGGAGAAAGTATTTCTTTTATAACCGAAATGTTTTGTGTTGGAATGTGATTCGTTATCAATGAGACGATCTCAACTGTACCTCTCAAAAGAACGTAACTTCTAGACAATTAAATCATGAGATGTGTGTGTATGACACATGACACATTAAAAATGAGATGTGTCATGTGTATTGACACTCGTGGTTAAATATTCTTAGTAACTACTCCCTCCGTCCCCTTTTAAAAGTCCCGGAGGAGGGTAGCACGAATTTTAAGAAAAGTGGGTTTGTGTGGTTGATATTAATTGATAAAGTAAGAATGATTTTGAGTCACACAAACTTTACCAAATAAAGTATGGGACAATTAAATAGGGACATCCCAATATGGTAAAATGAGACATTTAAAAGGGGACAGAGGGAGTATTAAAAATGAGTCCCTTCTAAGTGATTTCTCAAAGGGAACACAGGATATGTTTGGTTCAAGGAATGTCAGATTACCGTGTGAATGTCATATTGCTGGGTATGTTAGATTGATGGGAATGTATTCAATTTGTACAACATGTCATCGATCAAAAAATCAATGGACCACATGTCACCAATAGAATGACCTGATTATTCATGGACTTAGGGGCAATTAATTAATTAGATTAGGGGTAGAAAATTAATGGTTGATCCTACTTGGAAAATATTAGATATTGACTCCTATTTAAGGAAAAGTTGCATGTTATATTTTACTCCTACTAAAGGTAATTCACTATCAACCACTAGTGAAAAAAATTAATGTTTGATCCTTAGCTTCTAAATCATTCTTACTTTATTCCAAATTTATTATTCACTATCAACCACATTAACTCCTTTGTTCTTAATAATAACACCACCTCCTCTTATACGAAGTATTAAGTTATCATGATCATTTAAGTTTAAAAGTTCAATAGAAGTTATTATGATTAAATTACTACTGTAGTCACTATTCACATTTTTGTAAATAATCTTTATTTTAGTCATAAATATGTAATTTATTTATTAATTTTTAATAAACCAAATTCAAAAGTATACATTTTGTATTTCTTAATCCAATACGGATGAGTTTGTTTTAAGAAATTCCAATGCGGATAGGTTAAGAAAAATAAAAAATAAATACTTTGTATGCTATTTAAACCATTTTGGTTAAATGAGAATGAGTATTTTTGGAATAAAATTCACTCCCACCAAGGAATGTAAGATGAGCTAAGAGTTGAGTGAGTTTGAGATGGAAGGGCATCCTATTACTTTCTCTTCTTTTTTGGAATGTGACATTCCCCATAAAAATAAACCTACGAACCAAACACAGATATTTCAGATTCCGGGCATGAGATTCCGGCCTGCATAGGTGATTACCTTGAACCAAACATACCCTTAATTTTATCTTGTGTTGATTCCACCCGCTTCTACAATTAAGGGACAATGTATCTAATTAAGGGTAATAAACATGTGATGTTTGGGTAAAAGTGTGTTTGAAATAATTGCCCAAATATTACCCCCTAAGTTTCAATTTCTAAAAATATGACCACTCCCATTTTTTCCAAAAAACTGTCCCGCATTGCATTCTTCTCCGCGTGAGATCCGTTTTCTCCATCCACTTGAGAATCGTCTTCTCCATCGCGTGAGAAGCTCTCCAGATCCACACATCCACCAGAGCACCGCCAAGGATAATATAGCTCGCCACCTCCACCATCAAATGCCGCTCGTCCTCCATTTCGATTCTCTTCTTCGTCTTTCTTCTCGCAACTGGTTCCGGATCCTCCAACGTTGGTGGGTGAGGGCTCGGATCTGTCGGATCCACCGTCCTCGAAGTCGAAGAGGAGCCTGAACAGCTGGACCGACTCTTCCTCCGCTGCTTGGCCGTCGCTGCTTGGCCAATGCTTCGTGGTTTCAGATCTGGGCGGTTGGCGGCTATGGAGGTGGGCTGGCCTGCTAGAGAAGAATCTATGGCCTGTCCACGGGGGGCTGGGGGCTGTGGAAAGAGGGCTGGATGAGGCAGGGAAGGGGGCTTTCCGCTGGGGCTAGGGGCTGTGGAAAGGGGGCTGGGTGAGGCAAGGGATGGGGCTGGGTGAGGCAGAGGAGGGGGCTGGGTGTGGTGATTGCAGTCATTGGCCGGAGTTGGTGGCTGCCGGAGGCGGTGGCCGGCGGAGGTAATTGGGCGGTGCGGCGGCAGTAATTCAGCGGTGCTGGCGGGTGTCATTGTGACGGTCACTGTGGCGGTAGCCGGGCAGTCAATATGGTGAGAGTCACTGTGACCGGAGTCACTGTGGGGTGGAGTCACTGTGACCGGAGTCACTGTGGGGTGGAGTCACTGTGGCGGTGGGACAGTATCTGTGACCGGCGGGGCAGTAACTGTGACCGGCGAGTAGTCACTGTGGCGGCGGGGCAGTCATTGTGGCGGCGGGGCAGTCACTGTGGCAGCGGGGCAGTCACTTTGGTCGGTAGGACAGTCACTTTGGTCGGAGTCACTTTTCCAGGAGTCACTTTACACTGCAGGGTTAATTGTGATGTTAGTCACATTTTTAGGATTTTTAAAAAGAGATCACTTTTTTATCTTTTATCTAATTTTTAGTAATATTGGAATAAAAAGGCCAAAGTGTTTCTAGTAAATCTCTTTTACCCCAATTCAAATAAAGGTTACAACAAAATAACATACAGATTACGGAGTATCTTGTTTAGGAAAGTCTTAAACGGTTAAACCTCCACGCCAATTCTAACCCATCATTTAGGATGTTTTCTTTTGGACTGAAATATGTTGTCCTGATCAGGTCTGGTAAATGTCCGGTCTCTGTGTATTTTATAACTACAGAAGTCTGATCTGGTCTGGTCAAGTCTGATCTGGTCCGGTCTGGTCTAGTCTGGTCCAATCTGGTCTGATCTGGGACATAAAACGGTACAAAAGAGAACATTCTTAGTGGAGGTGATCCATTACCATATTTATATTTATTTCAATCTCAATGGTTGAAGGCCTTAGAGCTAGGTTGCTGAGGAAGGAGCGTTTAGGGCGCCTTAAACTAGCTGCTCACTTGCTCTTTTGCGCCATCACAAGGTGGCCTCAAACAAATGATAAAGTATGAGTAATTTATACGGAGTATTTACCAACCCTCCCTATGGCTCTATTCATTTCAAATGCCCCGCGGTACAAATGAAACAACATTTTTACTTCACTAATTATACCCAATATAAGTACTACTTTTTTTCTACAAAACCAGAGTAATAATTGCATTCAGTGATGATTTTTTTTGAAAGGTTCAGTGATGATTGAATTATGTCAAAATATGAGAGTAAGATTTGAAGATGACAATAATTTTCTTTTTGTGGTACACAACACACTTTTGACTTCAAACGATGCACTTGAAGAAATAACAGAAAACTTTGACTTAATTATACACACACATTTCTAGAATATTTTAATATCGATCAAAGCGATCTGAATTGGCATAATTTAGGTTCAAAATTGCTATTGGTACCCCAAATCCTACCCCATTTTGTACCCCCTCCCTAGTTTTGTGGTTAAAAAAAAGCAATGAATTAAGTGGGGCAATTATTTTGTGGGGTTGGGGTTTTGTGAGCAACTCATATAGTGAGGTACAAATGGGGTACCCCATTTTGGGGTACCTCTAGCATTTCTCATTTAGGTTTTGGATCGAATTGAGTCAAAATCAGGAACGACAAAACTCTTGGATCAAAGACCGGATCGGTATGCAATCGGTTTGGACCGATCTAGATAAACCGGTCTAATTTTTCAAATTTACTAGCAAAGTTTTTAAGTTTTAAGTAATCACTAACTTTTCTAGGTAATACTTCGTACTTTGTTTGGTTCCTATTTATATTTGACCATATTACAAATAAAATGACCTAAATTCGAATGCTATTAAGTATTAACTAATACGAAGTATATGTACACAAATTCAGTTTAACCAGATTAGGAGGCCGTTTGGCAACACTGTTTTTCGGCTTATCAGACTTATCATCCAACTTTTTCATCAAACATTTAATTTTTGCTTTCGCGTGTTGAATTGTGTAATAAGCAGAAAAAGTAAGGTTGAAGTTACTTTTCTGACTGTATTGACTGAAGTTACTGTAGATGATCGTTTTAATTATTTTTAGATAAAATATACTGTAATTTTTTTTTGCTACCAAACGGGCTCTACATTTTTACACTGGATCCGGTCCTGAGTATTTGCTGAATTGCTGGCCCGCTTTTCTTTACCGCCCCCATATTCCCCAATTTCCTCGCGTGTAAAACTCGATACATATGACGTGGCATCGACAACATGGATTATTCTTCTGGAGAAACAATTACAGCTCCGACTCATCCGAGAATACTATTCTGAGAAACGATTCACTGAAACAATTGGTGCGTAAGTACTTCCCGTTCTTCTTTCCCGACATTCCAGGGACTTGTTTGATTTGTATATTATGCAATCTTATTCATATTCTCATTTTCGACCTTACTTGTTTAATCTCTTTCGAGTTTGAATTGCACAGATAGTTTAGGTGCGGTGGTTGTTCTTCTTTCCGTTTATACATGTATATATTTGTTTACCTTACAATTTTTATATATAGTTGGAATTTCCAATTTCGTTGATTTTCGTTCGACAAGTGTGATCGTTCTACCAGATTTTTTCCCACATAATACACTTATACAGAGATGGTATTTTTGGGAGTCGTCCAAAACATGGATTTAAGTTGAGGTTGTTGTTGGCCCGTTGCTATTTCACTCATTGTGATGTGTATTGGCTGATACGGTTTGAAATAATTTCACATTCGAATGAAATAAGAAAAAGTGGGAAGTGGAGGTAAGCTCGAAACCGAAACACAAAGGGTTTTAAATGGAAAAAAAGTGTTTGGAGAGTTTGTATAGAGTTTCGAGAACGGAAACGTACGCCTTCCCAGGAGTTTATGTTCTTCATAAGATATGTTGATCAGTTAAATGATGGACACCATATCATGTATACCTGTGTATTTTTGTTCTTTCCCTTTAAATTAAATCTAAGATTGTTTGAAAAATGTAATGATGTATGTACTAATTACTATGCAGCTATAAGTAAAATTGTTGTCCTAATGATTCCTAAATTCTTACCCTCTCCATGATAGGATACATTGATTTGAATAGCAATGGCTTTGGATGTTGGTCGAGTGGCAGCTGACACGGAGATAGACACTGAGCTCAATGGTACTCCATTTATATGATCAATTAATTCTTTCATACATAGTATTAAAGAGATTTTTTTTTGTTACAACTATAGTTGTCCCTACAGATTCCCCTGAACCAGTTGAGAGATGTTATCGGAGGAAGCTTGGAGCGACATCGACGATGCAGAAGCAGAGCATTCAACCATTCTCTGATGCAAAAAACCTCTGCTCTCATACTTTATCCATGTCTGACAGAAAGGAAAAGAAAAATCCTTTGAATCCGAAACATTCGAAGTTAGGGATGCCTGATTTGCCCAATGCAACATTGGGGAATCAAGTTCAATCATCAGAGAAACATGTTAATAGAAAGTGCTTACAACAAGAATGCTTAAAGTTCAAGGAGAAACATAAAGATATTGGGACATGGAAGGAAAAAGGAGAGCGCCCCCCTTGGAAGCTTGTTGGCATTGCTTCAAATCGCCATGTAGATAACCACAAGAGAGGAGTGTTTCCTTCTAAGAACTCACCAACTGTGGGGCCATCATCAAATCAGTCAACATTGCTGAAGGAAAAGAGAGCTTCATCATGGAAGAAGGCAGCTAGTTCTGGGGTGCCTAAGAATGGTGCAGCTTCAAAAAAACAGTTTATGCCGCCTCCCAAGGATAATAATGTGTTAGCATCGAAGAAGCCTGCGGTTGGAGCAGCAACATCTGATTCCCCCAACCTATCAATGGAGAAGCCCAAGAAAACTTCCAAACCTCGCGAATACCATTATATCTCTTGTCCCATTTACGATTCCCTATTAGCCAACAAATCAGTGGACCCACAAAATCCATTTGGCTGTTTTTATTATGGTTGTTGTCTATGTGCTCACATAGACTACAGTGGCAGTAGCGAGAGCAACGACAGTGACAGCGAGAGGGATAGGGAGAGGGAGAGGAACTGGGAGAGGGTGAAGGAGTGGGAGAGGGAGAGGGAGGGCGAGAGCACCAGCAAGACCGAGTCATCAGGAGGAGCAAGCTACGAGTACTTGAAGGAGCATGGGCCAGGGGGACTCCCCGATTGGTACAAGTACTGTAGATTCTGGTAGTTTTTTATGATTTAATTATTATTATTATTGGTAAAACTTGCAAGTTTAGGAGTTGTAAAATCTATCATTGCCACTTATCCTTGTAGCCTAACACGATTTATATAAATGATGTGTGTAATTTTATGTAGGCCATTCTTTTCTTTCTTTTTAAGTTGTTATCCCTCATTAGCACTTAGCGAAGTTATTGTGTTAACCAACATTAAACGCTTCGTTTGAATAAAGTGAACCTAAGTAAACACGGTGAAATTAATCATCCCCAGGTTTTGGTTATCTTTAGAAATCAATTGAGCCTTAGTTATGGATATGTTTGGAGATTAGCTTATGAGCCAATGCTTCCTCCATCTTTTACTGATTTTACTGGTAAGAAAATGATTGTCTAGTTAAACTAGCCTTATGAAATACTTGGGACTATTTTAGTCCTACCATCCACTTTAGAAGACGTTGTATAGTGTTGCATCATAAAAAATGTTCCTATAAGATGCATGAAGTCCAGAAAGCAGCAGATGTCTGCTCATCATTTGATGAATCATTATTGATTCTTGTCATGTTTATATATTAGGGAGAAGTAAATGTCACATAGAACAGTCATAACAATAACAAAAGACTTAACATTTATGTATTTTTGTCGGAAAGGTTATGGACATTTAATTATGATAATCATATTGGCTACAGTTGGCATATGGTGTTCCACTGTTAAATCTATTGAGATAGAAGGCAATAGCTTTAGGGTCTGTTTGCAACAACTTCTGTTTTTAAAAAAGTGCTTTTTTAATGAAATGAGGAGAAGTGATTAAATAAAAGTTGATAGTGTTTGAGAAAAAAGTGATTTTGAAAAGTAAAAGTGGGTAATGTTTGGTAAAATAAGTGTTTTTTGTGTAATAGAAAAAGTAAAAACACTTTTGATGCGGAAGCCGAGAAAAATAAAAGTTGTAGCCTTTGGTTCGAAACAGGTGAGGGCCTTAGGGGAAAGAGGTGAAGAATATGAAAGAGTGTAAAAAGGTGTAATGTTGGTCAATGTAGTGCAATTAATTACTCCCTCTCCCAAATTATGGGTCTAGTTTTCTTTTTCGGATTGTCCCAAAATAACTGCTCTTTTACTTTTTTTGACAAGAAATGTGTAGTTCATATCACACTCTGTTCTACTCAAACCTCAACCACAACATTTATTTTTCATCCACTCCATTAAAAATTTGGCCGAACTCAAACAAGACTACAAGAGACATACTTCGGGACGGAAGAAGTTTTATTTTAGAAAAATATGTAATATTTGATATAAATTTTGTTATAGTTAATAATATAGTCCGTCTGCCTCCATTTGTTCTTTCCTCGTGGGGTTGTGCCATTGTGCCTCAAATTTTAGGGACGTGGGCCTCCAGAGAGTGAAAAAGGATAAATGTAGCAAAGAGAAGGACAATTAGGGTAAAATTTTATATTTAAAATTGAAATTGGAAGAACTTATAGAGGCAGATATAAAAAAGGAGGAAGAACATTTATAATTGGAGGGAGCAGTGATCTATAATTAATAATGTACACCATTTTAATAAATAAAAGGTGAGATGGAAATTGGACGAAAAATATTTTGAAATATCCTCCCTTTCTAACTTTTTCAATCAAACAGAGAACACTTATTCCCCATCCCCTCCCTCCAGATCCCTCAAATCAAACAAGGTCTTAAATATTATTTTCAGATCATTAATGTGTTCATCATTTTATACTTTTTACATTTGTCATAAGACTTGAGGCATGATGTTATGTAGCCATACATTGCACAATACACTAGTGACTTCAAACTATACACTTCAAGAAATGACATATTTTTTATTTAATTATACGCACACACTTCAGAGTATATTTTAATTCCGATCAAAGTATGTTGAATTGGCATATTTCAGGTTTTGGACCGGACTGAGTTCAAATCGGAAACGATAAAACTCTTGGATCAAAGGCCTGATAGCTATGCAATTGGTTTGGGCCGATCCAACTAATTCGGTCCAGTATGATTTCTAGTCTCGATCGAAATGCGTTGCCCTACCCATAGGCCATAGTAGTCAAGTACCATAAACGAGGTAAGTTGTTTCCATATTTCCCATGGATGTTGACTTTTCAAATTTACTAGCAAAGTTTTGAACAATGACTAACTTTTCAATATCATGCTTTGTTTGGTTTCTACTAGATTTTCACCCGTGCAATGCACGGGACATAAATAATGTAATAGTTATATGTCCTTATTTGTTACAGAGTAATATTATGTGTAAATGTATAAATGTATGCAAATAGTAAAGAAATAATATACATAATAAATTATAATTGAGAAAACAATAGTTAAGATTCATACATTGGTAGTAAGTATGTTTTGAAATATAAGTACAAATAAACAAATGTTAAAATAAGTTTTTTTTTTACAATTTACACATTTCGAAACACTTTCTTGTAAACAACATTGGCAGTATGGTCGGTTTGTCATCATCTACACATTTCGAAACACTCCCTTAATATTGAAAGATGTCATGTATATATTCAAGAGTTGGAGTCATACTTACTATAGTCACATTTTAATACATGAGTTTATTATGAGTAATATTTTAGGAAAAATCTCTTCTTCTTCTTTTTTTACAAATTCTTATATACTAACAATTCTTATACACTATCAATTAACCTCAAAAGTGATTTTAATTATAATAATTATAATATCAACAATACCATGAATAAATTATAATTTTAAATATTCTAACATTATTATAAGTAATAATCATATAATACATAATGATAATGAGGAATGGGCCGGTCATGCACTTCTGAGCAAATGCCCGCACAGTCAAGCCCGTTTTAGAGTCTTTCGGGTTGATTTTTTTGATGATTTTTTCGCATGTTATTCTTGAAGTGTATAATATCTCTACAATTTTATGGAGATAATCTTCATTTCATGAAGAATATGTTCACAAAATTTCATCAAAAAATTCGATCAGGGAAACCCTCAAACGGGCTTGGCCGGACGGGACTCTCTATTAGTGATGACAACGGGGCGGATCGGGGACGGGTACACATAAAACCGAAACCGCCCCGTTGGATAAATGTTTGCCCCAAAACCACCCCATTACCCGTTCGGGTAATTTTTATTTGAACCGTACCCGCCCCAACGGGGAATCAGTTTATCCACGGATAACCGTTTCCCCAAATGATGCCAAATAACCATTTTTTTGGAAAACAAATAACCAATTTCTAATCCTACTTGTTATTTATATATTCAAAACACCCAAAAACATACAAAAGTAAATATTTAAGCAATCAAGCAGACTGGCCTAAATCCATTAGTATGACATGCACCTAATATCTCTTGTAATATAATAAAAATGTAGTAATTATCCCAGAATCCAAATTCCAAAAACAGGTTTAGGCCTATATTTAGTTTTAGGCCTAAAAAGTAGTATACTTTTTAGCATTATTTATATGATATATACTATTTAGTATACACAATTTAGCATATATACTTATTATTCTTATATATAAAAAGTTATAATTCATTAATAATGTTACGGATCGGGTAACGGTGCGGGTACCCGCACCATTAGTGAACGGGGCGATTTCGGGGCGGATAACGGGGCGGATTAGTATAGAACCATAACCGCACCATTAACCATTTAAAAAATTCGGGTATTCCCCGCCCCATACCCATTCCCCAGTCAAACCGGTTTTCCCCAGTTTGACCAAATCGGTTCGGTGCGGGTATCCAACGGGTCGGCCGAAATTGCCATCTCTACTCTCTATTAGTCCAGACTGATGACATAAGTTCTCTAATATAATAATAATAATAATAATAATAATAATAATAATAATAATAATTTCGATACCGATAATAAAAAATAATATCCATAATATAAAACATATTATATTATTGATGTTATAATCTAATCTCACTGAATTTCATAATTTCGAACACATAAACTTAATATTAATTAACTCCATAAAAATTACGTAGTATAAACATAATAAAAATTACAGAGTCCGGGCCTCCGGCCAACTCATATGCTTTAATGCAGTCAAATAAACCCCATTTATACGGCTCATTTTGCATCAAACCTAGCCCAACACCTTAAATAAAAAGCTACCCAATAACCCAGACCTAACCTTCCCTATATACGTTTACCCTGCAGCTTTAACATTTATACGTCGGTCCCCTTCACAGTCCAACGGCTCATCAACCTTCGGCGGCATGTAGGGTTTCTTTCAGTTTCTTACTATTCTTCTCCATCCACACGGTCCACACCCAGTCTCTCAAAAATGGTGGTTATCTCTCTAAATCCAACTCTATCTCTTTGTATTATCTCTTTTTACATAAGAGATCTCAGGCCTCTTCTTTCTTCATTTGGTATGTTTTATACTATTACTATGTTTATACGGAGTTTTAGTTTTTCTGAACATGCAGTTCTATATGATTTTGCTTAAAAGATTTATTTATTTTATCAAGTATATATTCGGTTTCCAAATAAGAGATTCTGTAATGAGATTAATTTGCTAAATCTACATGTTTTTTGTAACTCAAAGACATCTGTTCGGATCTATCATTTCGTTGAACATATCTTTAAAATGATACGGAGTATCAAGTTTGAGCTACTGTTCAAGTTTGAGATAACATACATTGTTCAGATTCTGTCCTAAATATACTTTGTTTTGAAGTATTTACATTTGAGTTCGGTAAATAAATATGATATTATAATACGTCTCTTAAAGCAATGAAATGAAGAGTATGTTAATGTCATATATAATACTCGATGTGTATGTAGTGTATTCACAAAATATCTAGATTGTAATGTGAAGTTATGGTTTTTTAAAGAATTTCTGTGATTAATTTGGTCTGCTTGTTTGTCTCATACGTTAAAATGGTCTTTGGCATATCAACAAAATTATAATTACTATCTCCTTTTAATAAGCTAACATGATTAAAACATTTAAGTATATTAAAATATGCATGACAACTTTTAAGTTGTAGCTATTTTCAAAAGGAAAAACTGATATTTGTATTTTTTTAGTTTCAGAAATACCTCACAATCGGAATCATACTTTGAACAGAATGGTATTGAACTTGAACCAAAGTGGACTTGGAACTGTGTGATCTAGCAATTTTATGGCCTGAATACATGTCTCCACAGTAAATACCTCATTTTTTAGCCTTATCAAAAGACATTGCTGGTTCAAACGTCGCACAGTTTCAAAACAGGTATGAATCTCATTGATGTTATCATTTTGTTATTTCAATAACCCTTATTTGCTACAAAAATGTATATATTTTGGGCAAATCATCAAACACTAAAAGCTCAATGCAATTTAATAGAGCGCGTGATAACTCTGAATCTTACGGAATAAACTTGTTTTTCATTCCTGAAAAAAAAACCTTAGTTTTAAATAATCTCTCTCTCTTGTGGTTGCTGGTTGCAGCACTGGTAGATTTTCCCAGTTTTTGTTAGCATATATGATATATGTAAACCTGCAAAAAAATTGCTCATCACTAATAAACCTCGTTGAACATTTTGAAGCATAAAATTATTAAGATATATTATGATACTTGCACATCCTTGTGAAATCCCTGAGCCATCTTCATGATTTATACCTGCATTAATAAAATATCTTGACATTTTTTTGAAAGAAATAAAATATCATAAATTAGAATACATGACCATAAAAAATAGCCATCTCATTTTGAATTAATTAATTATCAGTGTTCACCAAAAATTGATTAATCGTCAATAGTAGCACATCAACACTCTATGCCCTTCGTGTCTATCATAGTAGCATATGAACACATAATTTCTATTTATATAATTTTCAAGAGTTTTAACCACACTACATACCTGTCATCGTAGAAAAGAACTGATAGTGTCTCCATACAACTTGGCTCTGGATGCCCAACTAATGAAATTGGACATCTATATACTACGGAGTATGATTTTAAATCTGCTCAGCATACGTGGAACAAATTACCCATTGGTCAATAAGATGCATTGGCTTTTAAATTTTACTGATGTGATTTTTTGATTTGACATACACAGTGTGACACCGCTCCCGAATGTCCTTGAAAATTTGATTTAAAATTCAAGGTTTATGTATTGGATTCCTGATTCCCAAACATTTGTAAAACGATTAATGTCTTACGTGATTAATGATCGATTAGTGTACTGTTCGAACTCGTATATTAGTGTCGGGCATACAAATACTATTTGGGTCTTATTAATAAATAAAAGAGCCCAACATTATCCAAATTGTGATACATGATCTTTCAAGACAATCCGAGTAAGGTCGGACGGCCCAAACGTTATTTTGAGCCCAACCCGCTAAAATAGCAAGTATTCGAGAATGGCGTTCTAGACCCACTCGGGAGTGACCCACACGGCTAGTAGCCCAATAATATGTATGACAAATGTCAAATAAGTGATAGAATGATTAAAGGAGAATACAAATGCCTATAACCCCATCTTTGGCATTATTGAGCTAAATAATGGGAGTAGGATTTTCCTTCTATAATATCAATCAAGTAAATTATTGGGATGGGCCTACACATATTGGAGATCAATAATGGGATTTAGGAAGTTGACTTGTTCTAAATAAATTAGGATGAGTACAAAAAGACATCTTTGACAAAAGATAAAACAATAGGACCCATCTTCCTATTTTTGGAAGTATTGGTAGATGTTTTGGACCCCAAAATGATTGGGATCAATTGGGAACCACTCCACATGATATTAGTACCTGCAAGACAAATAAAAATGGGTTAGGAGACTTACCTTGGCCGGCCATTATGGAGAAGAGCTGCACATGACTTGATAAGAATCAAAGTTTGGGCCACCACTCTTATTTTCGCACAAATTGGTGTGCTGTTTGTCTCCTCTCATTATAGGAGCTATCCTCAACCAAATAACGTGTATGAGGTGTCCTTGGATAGCTCTTGAAGTGTAGTTTCATAATTGAGTGGTCTTTGTTCGAGGAGAGAGAGCTTATCATCCAAAAATCGATCTGGAACGAGCAGTGGTCTGTGAACTCGAGCTGTGAGAGTGCTGAGACTGTTTGCTTCATATCTCGAGTTATACACATCCAAATAAGGCGTATAATATACCAAAAGAAAGCTCTCAAGACGAGGAATCCTCGAAGGTCTGGTTTGCATCAATCGGAGTAGTGGAAGGCCTCCAAATCGACCGAGCAAAACACGACCTCGCAGAATACGTTTTTGTATTCAAAGTAAGTTTGAATCCAAAACCTTCCTCTCTATTGTCTAAATCATATAAATGATTGAAGAACTATTATACACTGATTGAAGTGTATAAAATGTTATTATTATGTGACTTTAATTGTTGGAAAGGTTAGATACTAACCTAGAGCAAATCTTGGAAAAACTAGGAAACGAGTTAACCGGGAAACACCCGTTCTAGGGGCTGTTTTCGTATCAACGATTAAGGGTTGAACTAGCACTTTGAGGAGGCTGTTTAACACTCATAATTGAGCAAGGAATCAGTTCCAAATCCACCTTGACCAAAGCTTTGACCATTGGACCAAGAAGGGAAAGTTTAAAGCTCATTTGAGGTGAGGATTGACATCTAATTGCTTACAACTTGTAGGTTAAGCATGAGATTACCTAAATGCTTAAATCATTATTTTTCATGGTTTATGATGATCATATATTGATGAAATATTGATATAGTTGCCAAAGAATGAAATTTGAAATGATTTGAGAATGTATGGATAATATGAGATTTGATGAGTATAAATGAACTATTTTTGCGAAATAGGTAATTTGCTCATGTATGAAGTATTTGGGTACATAAATGAATATTTGTGTATTGAGATTGAATACTTAAGTTGCTGCTACATAATTATAATTAGGTAGAGAATTACAAATAAGGAGGATAGTGGTATGATAACAATAATCTTAATAGTATTGAAATACTAGTTAGTGATTATTGGGACTTGTTGATTAAATTGATCCTAGGGATGGGATGGTATGAAAGGTACTTGAATATAGTTCAAGTGTATATAATAACTTAGTTTGGAACTAAGGTTAAGTTATGGGGAGTCTTTAAGGATGACCCAAAGTAGTTTAATGATATGTCAATTCTAGGCATAGGGTTGCTTGAGAATTGGACCTTAATGCATGGTGATGTAATAGAGCCGAGCTCTAGAATGCATGTAAGGTGTAGACTTGGAGTCTATGTATTGAATAGCTAGAGCCGAGCTCTAGGACTTGCGTGGTGATGTAATAGAGCCGAGCTCTAGAACGCAAGGTAAGGAAATTGACCCGAGGTATATGAATTGTATGGTGATGTAGTAGAGCCGAGCTCTAGAATACAATGTCATGTACTAGGGTTGGACTCTAGGAGTTGTCGTGGCTTATAGTCACGGGGTTGGGAATGGTGATTTCGAAATGAACATGGGCCCACGGGCCGTCTACTTGACTTTTATATAAATTAAGTATATTTTTAAACGGGGTAACTGAGGGTTACAATCATAATGTACTATCACCCTATTTGAGGGTCTTGTGTTTGAAATACTTGTTGTATATCTATTAGATGCCTGCCACACCAGTACTTTATAGCCGTATAGAGTACTGACCCCTTCGGGGGCGTCCCACCACCATTTCAGGTTGAGGCTAGAGCTTGCTTCCTGTGCTCGTTGCCCGAGTGATTTTCCCCGGAGAGAAGACTTGGTTCGTGCTTCCTCCATTCAGTTTTAGAACATTAATAAACATGCTCATGGATATTTTACTTTAGAGCCTGCGTGCTCATGTTTGCCCTGTGTGGCCCTTTGTTTTAAACAATGTTTTCCGATGCGTATTAAATTACTTATTATGTATGTTTATGGATGACTTTTGTGTGAATGATATTCATGACGCCTTGTATAATATGAATGTGTTGGACTGCGGTTGACTATTCGTATTGTACGGCGGGTTGTTGACGTGTCCGGGGAGGTCCGGGGCGTGACAATTAAGTTGGTATCAGAGCCTTAGTCCATAAACTTCATAATGAAGTCTCAAAATTCTCTTTTTGAAAAGATTTTGAAAACCATGAGCATAGAAGTTTTGTACTTGGAGAGATTTTGGTACTTGGGTCGCAAGGTCTCTAATTGTTAAGATGGTACCCTTAGCAATTGGTATGGCGGTGACTCGAGCCAAAATGTGTCTTAAGTACCTATCCGTCAATTGACATTTGATACGAGTCTAACGACTCTTTCCAAATTTCTTTCAGAAATGGACCGTGGTGGCAGGATTACTAGGAGAAACCCGACGGGTCGTGTACCAGTGGAGACTGGACAGGGCAGTCGAAGGACCTCTAGGGCATCTAGAGGAGCTGGCCGTGGAGGCCGATCACAGACCGTGAGTGACGGTCATGTCGACACGGAAAGTGAAACCTACTGGTCCTATGAGGACTCGACCTATCGACCGGAAACTGAACCGGTTGAGACCCCTTATGAAGGGGATGATGATGATGTAAGTGATGAGGAGGAAAATGGCTCCTTAGCACGGATTGAAGCACTACTTCAACAGTACCACCGTGAGCGTGAGGAGAGGAGGGAACGCCGAAGGCGCCGGGCTAGGCAACCTTCGGGCGGGGCTTCAAGAGGGAGAAGCCATGGCGACTCTAGGGCCCACGTTGAACCACATGGGGGCCGGGGTGATGGAGGTCCGATCATAAGGATCTCCAAATACATCAAAGAGGCACGAGACTTGGGGTGCAAACCGTTCGATGGGACGGGTGACATCTCCGTTTCGGCACAATGGATTAAGCGGCTGAATGAGGCAGCCCTGGACATGCAACTCACCCCCGAATATAAACTAAGGGTTGCGGTGAGATTGCTTGAAGGTATGGCATCCAAGTGGTGGGATGGGACCAAAGGCAAATATGGCGAGACCGTCACTTGGGAGAATTTCCGACAGGAATTCTTTGCCCAATATTACTCGGATTTTGAGGTGAACAAGAAAGTGAGGGAATACACCCTTCTAACCCAAGGGGGTAACATGACGGTGAGGGAACTTGAGTACAAGTTCAGGGATCTTGCCGATTACATACCTGAGTATGCTTGTGACGAGAACCGGATGGTGAACCACTTCTGGGATGCTCTAGACTTGGAGATACGTGACAGGGCAACGCAATTGCCTAACATGACGTTTGCTCAAGTGGTTGACCAAGGGTTGAAAGGAGAGAAACAATGGGAAGAAAGGAAGAAGAGGGACGCCGAGGAGGCGAAAAAGAGAAAGTGGGAGAGTCATGGCTCCCAAGGTTCCAACAAAAAGGGGAACCACGGAGGGGGATCTTTCCGGGCACCACTGCCACCATCTAGGGGGAACCAAGGCCCGAGTGGGCAAGGCGCGAGGTCACAAACCTCAGTGGTAGCTCGTTGCAACAATTGCAAGAAGAACCACTCCGGTAAATGTCGCGACCCCCCTAGATGTTTTCAATGCGGGGATGCCGGGCATTTGAAGGCACATTGCCCACAATTGAGTGGGGCAAGGACATCGGGACCGAGTAGCGGTCCGACGGGTACACGGAATCAAACCGGGGCTTCTCAAGCAAGCCGGGGACACGGGGGGGCAAGTACAAGTAACGCGCCATCCGTGAATCAAGGAAGAACTCAAGCTAGAGTCTATGCGATGACGGAGGCGGATGCTCAAGCGAACCCGGATTCTGTTGCAGGTATTTATCTCATTAAAATGTGGTAAATTAGCCGTACTTATGTGTACACACCTTTGGGATTAAGCCCCGAACGCTTTGAGATCAAAATGGGCATGTTTGAGATTAAAATGTGCAAAAAAGGGGGGCAACCGGCGCCGGACTTCGCATAACCGGCGCCGGAGAGAGCGATGAGGCGGGCCTGTTTGGAACCGGCCCTCTCCAACCGGCGCATAACCGGGGCAGATTTCCAGCCAACCGGCGCCGGCCACTGGCCAACCGGCGCCGGACATGCCCTGGGATGAGCCTGTGTCCGACCGGCTCCCCATAACCGGCGCTCACAGCCTGCGACACCACCCAACCGGCGCCGGACACCCACCAACCGGCGCCGGACCTTCCCTGGAGCGAGCCTGTGTGGAACCGGCCCACTATGACCGGTGCAGCTGGGACATTTAACCCGGGCAACCGGCGCCGGTCAGGCCTGAACCGGCGCCGGTCCGAAGCTGTTTTCATCCGAAAATTTTCCGTATCAAAGCGGGACCCACCCCGTTTGAACGGTAAATGCACCCTAACCCTAAATAAAGTTTAGACATGTTAAGAATGGTGTCTTACATGGCTTATAAATGTAGGAACATTAAAGATTAATGGGAAGGATGCACGAATCCTTATCGATACCGGAGCGCAACGTTCATTCGTGAGTGAGGCGTTCGTCGAGGATTTAGGGATACAATCAATCCCAATGACGCAAACTCTAGTGGTATCAACACCACTAGGGGATGACATTGAAAGAGCTAGTTACTATCCATCTTGTGAGGTGGAAATCGACGGCCAAACCTTGACGTGTGATTTCGTACCGCTGAGTATGATGGAGTTCGATGCAATCCTAGGGATGGATTGGCTAGAAAAGCATCATGCTAGGGTAGATTGCTACACAAAGGTTTTGGAACTCGAAGGCAATGATGGGGACACCCTACGCTTCGAGGGGGACCGAAGCAAATCAAACAGTTGTATCATATCCGCCGTGAGAGCGAGAAGTATGATGAGAAAGGGATGCCACGCATACCTAGCGTACGTGGTTGACAAAACCAAGGAGGAAACGAACATCGACGACGTGAGGGTGGTTTGTAAGTATCCGGATGTCTTCCCTAAAGACCTACCGGGGCTTCCACCTGATAGGGAGATTGAATTTGTGATCGAGGTCGAGCCTGGTACCAAACCAATCTCCATACCGCCATACCGTATGGCACCCGCTGAACTTAACGAGTTGAAAACCCAATTGCAAGAGCTTTTGGATAATGGTTTCATTAGACCAAGCCACTCCCCGTGGGGAGCACCGGTTCTTTTTGTGAAAAAGAAAGATGGGACACTTCGAATGTGCATTGACTATCGTCAACTGAACAAGGTCACAATCAAGAATAGGTATCCTTTGCCTAGGATTGATGACTTGTTTGATCAACTACGAGGAGCAACCGTGTTTTCAAAGATTGACTTGAGGTCGGGGTACCATCAATTGAAAATTAAGGAAGATGACATACCGAAGAGTGCTTTCCGCACAAGGTATGGGCATTTTGAGTTCCTTGTTATGTCGTTTGGGTTAACAAACGCCCCAGCGGCATTCATGGATTTGATGAACCGAGTATTTCATAAATACTTGGACCGATTCGTGATTGTGTTCATAGATGACATTTTGATTTACTCAAAGAGTGAAGAAGAGCATGAAGAGCACTTGATACTTGTCCTTGAGACACTACGGGAGAAGCAACTCTACGCCAAATTTTCTAAATGTGAATTTTGGCTAAGGGAGATTGGCTTCCTCGGGCACGTGGTTTCAGGATCGGGAATTGCTGTTGATAACAAGAAGATAGAAGCCATTACCGAATGGGAGAGACCAAAGAACGTCAAGGAAATTCGTAGTTTCCTTGGACTGGCAGGCTACTACAGAAAGTTCGTGGAGAAGTTCTCTGTTTTGGCATCACCATTGACGAAGCTCACTCGTAAAGGAGCTAAGTTTGTATGGGATGACAAATGTGAGGAGGGGTTCATGGAACTAAAGAAGCGGTTGACCGAGGCACCGGTACTTGCATTACCCAAACAGGGTGTGGGGTACGATGTCTATAGCGATGCGAGCATCCAAGGGCTTGGATGCGTGCTGATGCAGAATGGGAGGGTAATCGCCTATGCTTCACGACAGTTGAAGAAGCATGAGGTGAATTATCCTACTCATGATTTGGAGCTGGGGGCTGTGGTGTTTGCACTGAAGATATGGAGACATTATCTCTACGGGGAGACATGTCACATATACACTGATCACAAGAGCTTGAAATACGTGTTTACTCAGAAAGAGCTAAACATGAGGCAGAGACGGTGGATGGAGTTGATAAAAGACTACCATCTAGTGATAGAGTATCACCCAGGCAAGGCAAATGTGGTGGCAGATGCCTTGAGCCGGAAGAGCTCGTCTGGGGCATTGCTAGCTAACTTGAGGGCATTAAGAGCCCAACTGGAGGTATCTAGCGATGGTGCCTTATTGGCACGATTTGAGGTGAGACCTACTTTACTTGATGAGATCAAGAAGGGTCAGGAAACTGACGAGGAGATTATGAAGATCCGGGAACGCATGCAAGCGGGACCGGTGGAGGATTTCAGGGAAAGAGATGATGGTCTCTTATTATTTCGTGACCGAGTGTGTGTACCGTCAGATGATGAGCTCCGAAAGTCCATCTTAGAGGAGGCTCATTCATCGGCTTATGCCATGCACCCGGGGGGCACGAAAATGTACCGTGATTTGAAAGAAAGTTACTGGTGGTCTGGAATGAAGAGGGAGATAGCCGAGTACATCAGTCGATGCCTTACTTGTCAACAAGTTAAGGCAGAACATCAGCATCCAGCAGGCTTGTTACAACCACTTTCCATTCCTGAATGGAAGTGGGAACATGTGACAATGGACTTCGTGGTAGGCTTACCACGGACAATTCGGAACTATGATGCAGTTTGGGTTGTTGTGGATAGGCTCACGAAGAGCGCACACTTCTTGCCTATCAACACTACCTACCCACTTGAGAGATTAGCCAAATTGTATACGGATGAGATCGTGAGGCTGCATGGAGTCCCAGTGACCATTGTATCTGATAGAGACCCACGATTCACATCACGTTTTTGGCCGAAATTTCAGGAGTCTATGGGAACGAGGCTGAAGTTCAGTACTGCTTTCCACCCACAGACGGATGGGCAGTCTGAAAGAGTCATACAGATCTTAGAAGACATGCTGAGGGCTTGTGCATTGGAGTTTCAAGGAAGTTGGGACAACCACTTAGCACTGGTGGAGTTTGCCTATAACAACAGTTATCAGGCAAGCATCGGCATGCCTCCATACGAGGCATTGTATGGGAGGAGGTGCCGTACACCGTTATGCTGGGATGAGGTTGGCATGGCCAAACTCGAGGGTACTGAGTTGGTTGAGGTCACCAAGTCAAAGGTGAAGTTGATTCGAGAGAGACTCAAGGCAGCTCAGGATAGACAAAAGAGTTATGCAGATAAGCGTCGAAGGACCTTAGAGTTTAAGGTTGACGACGAGGTATTCCTGAAAGTTTCTCCTTGGAAAGGAATCATTCGATTCCAAACCTGAGGAAAGCTTAACCCACGATATATAGGCCCATTCAGAATTATAGAGAAGGTTGGGGCCGTAGCATATCGTCTACAGTTGACTCCTGAGTTGGAGAAGATTCATAATGTATTTCACGTGTCCATGCTTAAGAAGTATGTGCATGATCCTTCTCATGTGTTGGAAAAGCCGCCCGTGGAAGTACGTGAAGATTTGAACTATGCCGTGCAACCGGTAAGAGTTATTGACAGAAAAGTGAAGAAACTGAGGAGTAAAGAAGTTCCAATGGTTAAAGTCCTTTGGAAGAGTGACCGGGTCGAGGAAGAGACTTGGGAAACAGAAGCTTTGATGAGGAAGCAGTATGCTTTCCTATTCGAGTAGAGCTGTGAATTTCGGGGACGAAATTCCTGTTAAGGGGGGGTGAACTTGTGACACCGCTCCCGAATGTCCTTGAAAATTTGATTTAAAATTCAAGGTTTATGTATTGGATTCCTGATTCCCAAACATTTGTAAAACGATTAATGTCTTACGTGATTAATGATCGATTAGTGTACTGTTCGAACTCGTATATTAGTGTCGGGCATACAAATACTATTTGGGTCTTATTAATAAATAAAAGAGCCCAACATTATCCAAATTGTGATACATGATCTTTCAAGACAATCCGAGTAAGGTCGGACGGCCCAAACGTTATTTTGAGCCCAACCCGCTAAAATAGCAAGTATTCGAGAATGGCATTCTAGACCCACTCGGGAGTGACCCACACGGCTAGTAGCCCAATAATATGTATGACAAATGTCAAATAAGTGATAGAATGATTAAAGGAGAATACAAATGCCTATAACCCCATCTTTGGCATTATTGAGCTAAATAATGGGAGTAGGATTTTCCTTCTATAATATCAATCAAGTAAATTATTGGGATGGGCCTACACATATTGGAGATCAATAATGGGATTTAGGAAGTTGACTTGTTCTAAATAAATTAGGATGAGTACAAAAAGACATCTTTGACAAAAGATAAAACAATAGGACCCATCTTCCTATTTTTGGAAGTATTGGTAGATGTTTTGGACCCCAAAATGATTGGGATCAATTGGGAACCACTCCACATGATATTAGTACCTGCAAGACAAATAAAAATGGGTTAGGAGACTTACCTTGGCCGGCCATTATGGAGAAGAGCTGCACATGACTTGATAAGAATCAAAGTTTGGGCCACCACTCTTATTTTCGCACAAATTGGTGTGCTGTTTGTCTCCTCTCATTATAGGAGCTATCCTCAACCAAATAACGTGTATGAGGTGTCCTTGGATAGCTCTTGAAGTGTAGTTTCATAATTGAGTGGTCTTTGTTCGAGGAGAGAGAGCTTATCATCCAAAAATCGATCTGGAACGAGCAGTGGTCTGTGAACTCGAGCTGTGAGAGTGCTGAGACTGTTTGCTTCATATCTCGAGTTATACACATCCAAATAAGGCGTATAATATACCAAAAGAAAGCTCGCAAGACGAGGAATCCTCGAAGGTCTGGTTTGCATCAATCGGAGTAGTGGAAGGCCTCCAAATCGACCGAGCAAAACACGACCTCGCAGAATACGTTTTTGTATTCAAAGTAAGTTTGAATCCAAAACCTTCCTCTCTATTGTCTAAATCATATAAATGATTGAAGAACTATTATACACTGATTGAAGTGTATAAAATGTTATTATTATGTGACTTTAATTGTTGGAAAGGTTAGATACTAACCTAGAGCAAATCTTGGAAAAACTAGGAAACGAGTTAACCGGGAAACACCCGTTCTAGGGGCTGTTTTCGTATCAACGATTAAGGGTTGAACTAGCACTTTGAGGAGGCTGTTTAACACTCATAATTGAGCAAGGAATCAGTTCCAAATCCACCTTGACCAAAGCTTTGACCATTGGACCAAGAAGGGAAAGTTTAAAGCTCATTTGAGGTGAGGATTGACATCTAATTGCTTACAACTTGTAGGTTAAGCATGAGATTACCTAAATGATTAAATCATTATTTTTCATGGTTTATGATGATCATATATTGATGAAATATTGATATAGTTGCCAAAGAATGAAATTTGAAATGATTTGAGAATGTATGGATAATATGAGATTTGATGAGTATAAATGAACTATTTTTGCGAAATAGGTAATTTGCTCATGTATGAAGTATTTGGGTACATAAATGAATATTTGTGTATTGAGATTGAATACTTAAGTTGCTGCTACATAATTATAATTAGGTAGAGAATTACAAATAAGGAGGATAGTGGTATGATAACAATAATCTTAATAGTATTGAAATACTAGTTAGTGATTATTGGGACTTGTTGATTAAATTGATCCTAGGGATGGGATGGTATGAAAGGTACTTGAATATAGTTCAAGTGTATATAATAACTTAGTTTGGAACTAAGGTTAAGTTATGGGGAGTCTTTAAGGATGACCCAAAGTAGTTTAATGATATGTCAATTCTAGGCATAGGGTTGCTTGAGAATTGGACCTTAATGCATGGTGATGTAATAGAGCCGAGCTCTAGAATGCATGTAAGGTGTAGACTTGGAGTCTATGTATTGAATAGCTAGAGCCGAGCTCTAGGACTTGCGTGGTGATGTAATAGAGCCGAGCTCTAGAACGCAAGGTAAGGAAATTGACCCGAGGTATATGAATTGTATGGTGATGTAGTAGAGCCGAGCTCTAGAATACAATGTCATGTACTAGGGTTGGACTCTAGGAGTTGTCGTGGCTTATAGTCACGGGGTTGGGAATGGTGATTTCGAAATGAACATGGGCCCACGGGCCGTCTACTTGACTTTTATATAAATTAAGTATATTTTTAAACGGGGTAACTGAGGGTTACAATCATAATGTACTATCACCCTATTTGAGGGTCTTGTGTTTGAAATACTTGTTGTATATCTATTAGATGCCTGCCACACCAGTACTTTATAGCCGTATAGAGTACTGACCCCTTCGGGGGCGTCCCACCACCATTTCAGGTTGAGGCTAGAGCTTGCTTCCTGTGCTCGTTGCCCGAGTGATTTTCCCCGGAGAGAAGACTTGGTTCGTGCTTCCTCCATTCAGTTTTAGAACATTAATAAACATGCTCATGGATATTTTACTTTAGAGCCTGCGTGCTCATGTTTGCCCTGTGTGGCCCTTTGTTTTAAACAATGTTTTCCGCTGCGTATTGAATTACTTATTATGTATGTTTATGGATGACTTTTGTGTGAATGATATTCATGACGCCTTGTATAATATGAATGTGTTGGACTGCGGTTGACTATTCGTATTGTACGGCGGGTTGTTGACGTGTCCGGGGAGGTCCGGGGCGTGACACACAGGGCTCAATACTTTCGTACCAAAGAAGCAGACTAAAGTAGATCTGCCTTGCTATCTCCAACCCATGGACAGCTCATACGAATTTAATATCTGTTATTCCTTGGACAAAAGAGTAGTATTAAGAGCATCTCCAATGCAAGGGTGTGGACTCTTACACACCCTTACATCTGGGTCCCATTTTTTATCTCACAAATTTTATGTGTAGGACCCACATATTTCCTAATTTATTTTCATTTTCATTTTTTTATATCACTTTTAACCCACTTTTCATCAACTTTTCCTCCTCGAATCCCGTGTAAGGTCCATATATGGACCTTGTCATAGACCTGGGTCCATTTTTACCTCTATCTCTCTCCTCTTTTTCATTTTTCCCTACACACCACTTCATCCCAATATTTATTCTATCTCTATCTCTCTCCTATGCCACATCAGATGCAATGCACCCTCCCATTGGAGATGCTCTAACCGTGTAAAACTTAGCAATGAATGCAACTTTTATTGTACTGTACTTTTGCTCTACTTTTGCTCAGTATATAGCCAGGACCCGAAGCCTTGTACCCGACCCGAATTTGACCCATAGCTTTGGGCGGGAACACTGTTCATTTTTTTATTTTGCTTTTGTATAATAGAAGATTTGTAATTTGATCGTATTATATATAAAAGGTTAAATGGTCTAGGCCTTCGAACTAACTTAAAAAGTGTAAATCACCTCTTATATAGGAGGCTCTGTCCGACCGTCGTCACTTGAGGCGGTTCCCTGTGGAATTTTTTGATGAAATTTTTTTAGCATCTTCTTCATTAAGTCTAGTTTACTCATACCGAATTTCAGATAAAAATTCAACAGGGAAAACAGTCAAATGATTTTCTGAAATGTACTGCACTGTTTAACTGCGCAGTTATTTTCAAAAATACGCCCCTTATATACATATCCTCGTTTTCGACCTTATTTGTTTTATTTCTTTCGAGGTTGAATTGCATAAATAGTTAAGGTGCAGTGGTTGTTTTTCTTTTCTTTTCTACATGTATATATTTATTTACTTTACAATTTTTATATCTCGTTGGATGATAAGTCCGTATTTTGACACGTATTTGATGCGTGTTGAGATCGGATTTTGATGATTTTCCTAGTTTTAAGGTGTTACAAGTCTCAATTTTAGCTCAAGTTATGTTTACCGGACGTTGGTTCGGAGTTTTGTGTTGTTTGTAGTCAAAATCAGGGAATTTGAGCCCGGCACCGGCACTTGAGGAACAATCGGGATGATTTGAGAAGCATTTGAGAATGATTTTATAGCTTTGGAGGTCACCGGAAGATTCACGATGAAGATTTGAAGGAAAAAGAGCTCTAGGATTGGCTTCGGGATCAAAAGAAGATGAATGAAGCTTGAAAACGACGATCAGGATGACCTTCTGTCAATCGTTCAAGCATATCTATTTGAAGAAACATCCAATGTACACGATTCAAGTTCCATAGGAAAGCCAACTTCAAGGGCTACAAATCATATGAAGACACCTTTGCAAGAATCTGAGAGGAAGAAGGTGAAAACAGACGATGAAGTCAGATGATCTCTGCTGCGATTTCAGAAAGACACCTTCTACCGTTTTGATCATATCTATTGATTGGAGGATTCAAATCACATTCGGCGAATTGGGGTGGATATATGACTTCATTATCTACAACTTTTATGAAGAAAGTTTTGTCAAATTCGGAAGTTAAGTAGGTACGATCGTGCCCTCAAAGTCAGACACGATCGTGCCTGAAGAGAAAAGCACCGCGGAGTTACTGCCAGCCAGGCACGATCGTGCCTGGAGGGAGGCACGATCGTGCCTGCCCAAAATGCGCGTTTTTGCTCCGGAGGCACGATCGAAGGCACGATCGTGCCTGGCATCGTGTCTGGCTCCGAAAATCCTAATTCAGCTCAAATTTCACCCGATTTTTCTATTTAAACAGCCTGTAAACCCCCGTTTTGAGGGGGGAGCTTAGAGAGAGTGCCTAGCACGAATTTTAGAGGGCTTTTCAGCCTTGTTCATCAATCTTTTGGTATTCTTTGTAAGTTCCACCTTTTTAATTAATGACAATTAATTCTTTTTATTCCAATTCTATTGATTCTTCAATTATGAATTGTGAGTAGTTTTAATTAGGGATTTGGGATTGATGAAGGGGTTAATCATGATGTATGGCTAGATTCTTTTCGGTTTAATTGCATGAATGTCGTTTAATTTGTGTTTGAATAATTTAATTGATATCTTTTGTAACCTAGAATCGCGACTAGAATTACAATTGCATGTAGAATAAATTAAGAGAGATCTAATTTGTTCTAGGACACATTCACACACACTTAATCGTTCGCTAAGAGATTAGTAGCGATTAAGGGGCCGTAAGCTCGCTCTTCTTGGCAATAATTTAGGATCCTGTCGCATGAGAGATCAGCCTGGTCCCCTAAATTATTGTACTCTACGCCGCGAGAGCGGTAAGAACTTAGTAATGATTAGCTAGGCTCAATTAAATTAATTTCATGTAATTAGGCCTGATCTGCCAGAAATCTGGTTACCCCGGAATCGATCCCTGTTCCCTTCGTCATTAATTAGAAAGAACCCCCTAATTTAATTGTTCGCATTAGTTTTATATTCCAAACCAACCAATCTCGCACGACGCTTTTATTTTATTTTCTTTTTAATCGCTGAATTTAGTTAATCTTTGATTCCCTTTTGTCCGTCCCTGTGGAGACGATACTCGTACTTACACCACTATATTACAATCTTTTTAAGTGCGAGCAAATACTCAGCATTGGATTTTCTAATTTCGTTGATTTTTATTCGACAACAAGTCAACAAGGGTTGTCATTCTACCAGACATGGTTAATTTTTTTTCGCATAATACAATTATACAGAAATGGCATTTTTGAAAGTTGTCCAAAGCATGGATTTAAGTTGAGGTTGCCGTTGGCCCGTTGATATTGGGGTTATGGATATTTCACTCACTGCGATGTGTATTTGCCGTTGCGGTTTGAATTAATTTCGCATTAGAATGAAATAAGAAAAAATTAAGTTAGTGTTGCAGTCCTGATGCGGCCCGAATGTGTTTACATTCCGTTTACGTTACGGTTGCATTACAATATTGAGCGTGAATAAAAAAAACCGCAATTGTGTGCTGATGCGGGTCTGGTCGCACTTTAAAATCGTGGTACTCGATCCGAAGTTCCCTAGGGAAAAAATCAAGACACAAAGACATATCATCTTGAAGTTTTAAACTTGTGATATATATTCTAGCTTGCATGGAAAAGTGGGAAGCACAGGTAAACTCTGAAGCGGAAACACAAAAGAATTTTAAATGAAAACAATGTGTTTAGAGAGTTTCTAAAAAGTTTCGAGAATAAAAACGTACGCCTTCTCAGGAGTTTATGTTCTTATTGAAATCATAGAGTAACAATAAGCGGTCATGTATATTACTAATTGAAAAGATTTGCACAAATATAAGACTTCTTTCAACCATTCCAAAAAAGAGACCCCCGTGTGATCTTTTAGTAAAATTTAGGATCAAAATAACATTTATGCCCCTCCCAATTAATACCACGCACTTCGTATGCAATCACACTATGCATGCTTCATTGTTTAATCGCTCCCCACTATCGACGCATGCGAGGGTCATAAAAATGAGTTGACTTATATACATCCGTATATCCCAATTTACATTTATCCGATTTCAATTTACTTGACCCGGCCAGTTACAGTTATATTTTAGATCAATTACATTTATTCACTCGACCAATTCCAATTACCCGCCCGACCAATTACAGTTACTCACCGTCAGTTATACTTATCTGTTCCACCAATTACAGTTACTCGTCCGATAAGTTACAGTTACTCGTCCGACCAGTTACAGTTACTCGTCCGACTAACCACAATTACCAAAAGCCACTTACAGTTATCCGTCCAACCAATTATAGTTACCCGTCCAACCAATTATAGTTATCCACCCAACCAATTATAGTTATCCACCCAACCATTTATAGTTACCAATTATATACAAAGATAAGATACGTCGTTTTCAAGCCACTTGATTCAATGAATGGTTGGAATACTATCCAACAAAATATAAGGCATACTGTTTTCCATGCTTTCTCATCGGTGATGTTGTGCATTCCTCTTGTGTTTCGGTTTTAGTGACTACTGGTTTTGATAGTTGGAAACGAGTTCATCAGGGTAAAAATATTATTATGAATTTTAATGGAAGTTATCATATGTTCACACTATTTACGCTTTTAAATTTTTTATATAATGTTTTTGGTGTATAGCTGGCCCAGGGTAAACATCAATTCTGGCTACGCCCCTGTATCAGTCCATCCCAACCTCTTTTCATGTTCCCCAATCCCGCCCCTGCCCATAGCTCAACCCTGATCCACCCCTTCATGGCCCCAGCTCAGACCGACCCAATACAGCCCCGATCCACGGCCCCACTCAGACCGACCCAATACAGCCCCAACCCATTACCGCCCAACCTTAGCCAGAAACTCTAGCAGTCGGACCAGATCTGGCATTATAAAAGATGAAGAAGAAGGAACACATAGGAAACTTGCAGAGGCGAAGTAACTGCACCACCGTCACCCCTCCCCTGGCCCAGCTACGATCAGCCCAACCCAGCCCCGATCCACCCCTCCCCAACCCAACCCTCCGCCCAACCCTAACCAACCTTAGCCAGAAACCTTGCCGCTGGAACAACATGAAATAAGAGGTATCGCCAATTGGAGGCCGTATCCATCTTGTTCACTTGTGGTTCTCGTCGTCACCGTCTCCACCTTACATCAAACAGAAAATGAAGAAGAAGCATAGAAGCCGTGGGCGACGATGTGAAGGCAGAGGCAACGATTTAGAGGAGGGGCGAGCTAACGGCGGAGATGGAGACTGGTGGTGGCGGAGAC